TCTATACTGCACTTCAGTAATGCGACTAAAATAGGAATACTCCACATGTCTTAATTCGATTAGCCTTTACTTCGATTATGACTTTAGCCGGATTAAGGTAATCAAAAATCTCTGTTTACATGGTAGATTCTTAATCAGAGTATTGTCTTAATCGTATTAAAATCGTAGTATTGTTGTCCATGAAAACGTACTGACTGTTGAATATAATGGCAGGCACACAATCAAACAATAAGGACTTTAAGCAACAGCTGCGAATGGAACGGAAGTAAGCTGTTACACTGCCGTAGCCGAGAACGTAAAAATCTGCACTTCAGTAATGCGACTAAAATAGGAATACTCCACATGTCTTAATTCGATTAGCCTTTACTTCGATTATGACTTTAGCCGGATTAAGGTAATCAAAAATCTCTGTTTACATGGTAGATTCTTAATCAGAGTATTGTCTTAATCGTATTAAAATCAGAGTATTGTTGTCCATGTAAACGTACTGACTGTTGAATATAATGGCAGGCACACAATCAAACAATTACGGACTTTATGCAACAGCTTCGAATGGAACGGAAGTAAGCTGTTACACTGCCGTAGCCGAGAACGTAAAAATCACTAAGCAACCGTAAACAAGACGGCACAACACGGCATTCAGTCGTTTGCTGAAGTATTATAAAGCATTATGAGGAGGATGTTTAGGCAATACTTACATTGTTCACTTCACATGATCTCTAGTCTCAGTGCTACCTGAGGTGTTGTTACTAACAGCAGACATATCTTTGTACAAACTGAAAAATCGTTAAAAGTAGCTTAATTTAAAAAAATATCAACAGATTAAATAAAAGACTAATTGTAGAACCACACACTGATGCAATTACAGTGTTATATACCATATAACGTAACATTTACTTACCTAATCTATCACATTGTAATGACTACGGTAAACCAGCTGTTCTCCCGTAGTAGACGGTTACAGTAGAACATCAAGAAGCAGCTGTTAAAGTCGTGCATGCACAATACAACGTCAACTTGGCTGTTACTTAAAGTCCCTAGTATCTTAAAGATGACAACAGAAAAAAACACCACTGGAACCCCACAAGTTGTTATAGGGAGAAGTTGTGGGCAGCTAAGACATTCGAAGCAGGCACAAAAAGACCCACAGTGCCATCACCTAATAATCTAACATAATAGTCATTTGCACTGCAAACAGCAAGTACATACTCACTGTAAAACAAACAAGGACCAAAAATGGGTCATTTCAGCTGCTTGGACCCGCAATCTTGTTCTTTTGGTCACTATCAAAAGCACATGACCATAGATGAGAGTTGGAGCATAGGCTGATTTCTAAATTGAAAGCATTGCCCACATGCTCAACTTACTCTTCATCACTACAGCCCAGTATAATGACCGCATTACTCCTGCCACTGCCCTGATCCACCCAGCAGTCTCATGCGGAGGCAACTCATTTCCTACCTAAAGAGGACAATACGACTCTTTCTGACTGAGAACCATGGCCCCAGGTATGGAAGCACAGACCCTTATCCCACCATCCAAGTGTGCACTCAAGGTCACAATTAATAAATGCCCAGCTCCCCACCTGGAAACTCTCTGCTCTGCCTTGGGATCCCATCCATAAATATCACAAACAGAATAGGTGACATTTACTTTGGGTTCAGAAGTTCCTCAAAATGTTCCTTGCACCTTCAGACTCAGACTGATATCTCATTAACAATAGCCTGGATCAGACAATGCCTCCCCTGCCCAAGCCGTCTGATGGTTTGCCACAACCTCTTTGAGGCTGACCAAAAGTACTTCGCAATGGTTTCTCTGAGCTTTTTTGCCTCTGCAACTACTGTGGCCAGTCATCCGAATCAACCCACAAGGTTAACCATTCCTGAAAGACCCCTATCTTCAGGTTGACAGCCTTCATCACCACCTGCGTCTACCAATGTGTCCACTCAGACTCCATGTCTTCAGCCTCCTTGGGAAAAAAGGAATAGCACTTCTGAAGGTGGGAATTAAACATCTTCTGGACAAGAGCCTTCACCAAACATTCCCAGTTCACCCTGAGAGTCTGTTTAGGTTTGCTGTTTTTGTCTGGCAGCTACCTTTAAACTTTGCAAACTCTGTCTGGCAATATTTATTTGGCCAATAAATTGAAGTTATACCAGACAGGCTCAGGAATGAACATGATATAAATTAACATTTATTCTAAATTGACTTGAAATGCTTTCAAGGTAATTCATCAGTTTCCCCAGTCTTGGGCTTCATTACTAGTAATTACTAGGTGGTAAGAATTCTCAGAATACAGCTTGTTTCACAATTTTTGTATTGTGTACATCTGAAAGCCCTGATAAAGTGATGGTGTTGCCTTCGGCCAGTGTTTCTCAATCCTGGAACTGGAGGGATCCCTTATGCTGATTATTTGACACATTGATTCTACGGATTAGCTCATTGGTAGAGTGATCCATGACCTGAATTTGGTGTGTCAAGTAAGGGAAACATCTAAAACAGTCTCAACCCTGGTCCTGGAATAGCTCCAACTCTGCACATTTTTTATGTCTATTTGTACAGTGCCTGAAAGGACATACATTTCATTGTATGATTCCAACTTCAGTAACTAAATGACTTCTTGAGGTGTATGCGTATTAGGCTGTACACTATAAGAGACATGAATGAAACAATTAATTTGATAATCACAATTATTTATGACTTGTCAGTCAAAATGCCCTATTTCTATTTTGTAGTGACTACTCTGGACATTGCAGTTTGAAAGGCATAGGTCAGTGCCACTTATTTTGTTACCTTAATAACAGCAGCATAGTGTATTCTTGTTTAATACAAAATTCTGTTTCTTAAACATTAAAACTATGTAATATATTTGGAGTCCTTTGGATCTAACTGGATTTCTGCATGAATTGGTCATCAAATTTGATCTGAACTTTAAGTCACAACAACTTGTTTCTTGTTTAGTGTTTTCCATATCATAGACACATCAACATAGTTTTTAAGTCCTTAGACTGTTGTGACTTAGTTGAAGATTAAATTAAATCAAATCAAATCAAATGTTATAACCAAACTGCATGTAATGAATATTTCCCACTGATAGTATTTGGATGAATGAAAGCAACTGCTTTTAAATTCCAGTTAAGATTACTTCAGGTATCTAGATGAATTGTGAGAAATTGCCACCTAGGATCACGACAATCACAGATTGCAAAGTTAGTTCCCAAATTATCTTAATCTGTATATTTCAAGTTTAATAATGGTGAGCACAAAAAGAGTAAGAGAAAGTTGAACTTTTGCTCAAACACTCAACTGAGACAACTTTTATCCAACATGACTTATGAATGGGTAATACCACAGCAAAAGCCATTCATCCTACGGAGATGTAGGAGTAACATGAAAAGTGCACTCCACGTCAACACATGTAACACATCCTCAACTTCTCCACTTACTGAGTCAGATCAAATCCCTCCAGAATTAAAAGTCTGCTGCAGTGTTGTCTGTATCTCGTAGGGGTTGAACGACTTCTGATTTTTTGAAGTCGACTTTTATGTGATGAAGTCGAGTCGAAGTCGACTAGTCGCTGATGACGTCATTAATGAACAAATAAGTCTGGGGCTGTGATAAACACCTTGTGCACAGCTATGGCATATGACACAGCGCTGCCCACATGGCTGTTGCTCCTATAACAGCTCTTTTATCAGTTATTTTGTCCTTGGGTCGTTATATTTCTCACAGATTTCTGCTTATTCTAAATCAGATACAGATAAAGTAGCACAGTAAAGATTACATTCATATGAATGCATTAGTGAGACAGCGATTGCGTGTGAATTAATTCTACCTGGCAGCGTCTCTCTACTAGTACTGAAGCTGTGGGATTTAGTTAAGAAATATATGCTTGAACTTTTCAGTTTCTAAGCAATTTTACTGAGAAATCACAGAAAAGTGTTGACAATCCATTTCCGCGCTGAATTATTCTGTGCGCGTGATGTACGAGGTACTGTCTGTAGCCTATGTGTGTGCTTACAGTGCAGCAGCGCATTCGATTAGAACGGCGATTAATTACCTGTACAATAAGCTGTTTAAAATGTGCATTCTCCCGTTCAATTTCGAGCATCCAGTAATATAATCACATGTCTTGTGGAGCGCTTTCAGAGTATGCATTTATTTGTCATTTTAACTGTTTGGAAACGGAGAGTAAATGTGGAAGTCCTTCAAATAATTCTTATCCTGTTGCGCCCTCTATAGGACCAGCGACTAGTCGACATCAAGCTTAAAGCGTCATGGCAGAGCATTGAAGTCGACTAGTCGATTAGTTGGTGCAACCCCTAGTATGTTGTGGGTTTGACGACAGACAGTGATGAGAGGTGGCAGGGCAATCTCTCCCTGAATGCTACACTCCACAGTATCTCCGCAGGGATAATGAGTACTTTCTACCTCTGTCACAAGAAACTCCAAGGTGCATGATGAGGCAGTGTGTGATTAAGGTACACTGCTAAAAAATTGGTCACTGGTTGGCAAAATGTATTTAGTTAATAGAAAATAATAAAAATAAAAAAACAGTTGCAAACAAATCGTCTGACATTAGTTTCAGTCTATCAAAAGATGAAGTGCAATTCTGGATCACTGATGAACTGGGGTTCACTCCACAGATGTTAAAATGTAAAATGTTGTATAGAACTGACCTGTAGCCCTTGGGGCAAACGCAGGAGTATCTATTAACCTCGTCCACACACTGTGCCCCATTCTGACACCTGTGCTCCTTACAGTCGTCATAGTTCACACTGCAGTCGTCACCCACATAACCAGGTGCGCATATACACCTAAATCAAACACATGCAACCATTATAGAGCTCTTTGAAAACAATTGAGCATTTGGTTAATAAAAAGGCTGTTACTCGGCTACTAGGTCAAAGGAGATGTGGTTACTTTGGGCCAGTGACTGTGATGAAGCAGGTGGACTGGTGCTTGCAGGGACTGCGAGTAGAAGCACACATGTCCTCCATATCCTCACACATCTCCCCTACACACACGCACAAACAGTGCAAGCCGTAAGTCTGGTGTAATAACTATGTGCTTACAAGAGTTTGAGAAAAGAAAAATTGGCAGCACTTTATTTTACAGTCCTGTTCCACATGTACATATTACTATTATAGTGATTATAGTGAATAACTAGATACTAACCCTGAACCTACCCCTAAACCTAACTTTAACCCATATAGTCACCTTATATTACCCAGTACTTTCTTAGGTAAGTACATTGTAATTACACACATACTGTAAAATAAAGTGCAACCGAAAATTCTTTGTGGTAACACTTTATTTCGATAGTCCACTTTAGAAATTCTACTAACTATAAGTAACTTTGCAACTACATGTCAACTTATTCTAACCCTAACCATAACAGTTAACGTGCACTGTAGTTGCAAATTAACTTGTAGTTAGCAGAATTTCTAAAGTGGACTATCGAAATAAAGTGCCGTTTTGATTTTAAAAAACAAGTAACATTAATGTATGTGTTCAGGAAGTAGTAACACGTGTACCTGTGTAAAAAGGGGCACATAAACACGTGTAATTGTTGATCCCATCTATGCAGGTTGCTCCGTTCTGACAGTCGTTGTCTTTACACTCGTCTATGTCAGTGTCACATGTGGGACCTTCAAAGCCTGCAGCACATGAACAGCTGAGAAAACACAAATGCGTCATTTGAAATGGGGATCAAGCTTTCTAAGCATTGAGAATGAATTTCATGAAGACTTCCGGGCCAAATTTCACCCCAAAAGCAAAACATAGAATATAAGAAATAACTGTGTTTTTGCAGCTTATTTTAGAAGAATACGTTTTTCCCCCCCTCTGATATTGCTTTCAGAACAATCGACAAAGACACAATGGTTTTTAAAATGAAAATAGATTGAATTTGGCACAACAAATAAGCATTTAATGCATGCTTTCGACCACTTCACACATTAATAAATGATAAGGAAAAGATGTTGAGACTCACCTAAAGTCTTCATCCTCTTCTCCGGACATGTGGCATGCTCCTCCGTTCTTACAGGGCTCACTGACACAAGCGTTGAGCGCTGTCTCACAGTTCTTGCCCTGTGTGTGAAAGGAAATGTGTAAACGTTTCATGTCCGTCTATCAGGATTCACATTGCTCGTGTTTTGCGTGCTCACCTTAAAACCCTCTGAACAGCGACACCTGTAGCCGTCCGTCTGATCGGCCTCGCAGCTGCCGTGGTTCAGACAGGGCTTAGACATGCACGGGTTACACTTCGCTAGTATAGCAGTGTCCACTTCACCTGCACACACAGAAACACGACCCTTACTGCACATGAGCCTGACAGACGCCGAATAAAATCCCTCAAAAATCATCCATAGTACAGCGGGAATCTGAGTGTGTCTTTCTCAGAGCAAAGACTTGTAGAACAGATTTGACGAGGTATGAAGGACAAATCTTAGGTAACACAAGATTATTTAACCACCATGTCAGTCATTGCATGGTTATTAATACCTGATGAGACGCAGGGCAGACAATTATGTATTTGTGGTCTACAAAACCAATGCATTTCATGGACTTTTCTTTAACCTTAGTCGTCATTCCACTCTGCATCTTACCTTGACATTCGAACCTCTTGGCAGGGGTGGTGAGCAGTAATTTCCCCTCCATGCCGTGCGGTCCAACACAGCGTGCGATGCCAGGCTCCTTGTAGCCAGTTTTCACCCAGTCAGAGAGCCAGCGCAGGCGGCAGTCACAGTGCAAAGGGTTTGCACCAATCGCTCTGAGAGCAATCACACACGATCCAGCGTTAAACAAATGCAGATTTTTTTAGACAGCCAAAATGAGATGCACTGAACAAGCCCTGTCTGTATACAATGGACAGTACACAGCATAAATGAGTACATAGATATACTTCTATTTCTTAATGATCACTATTACTACTCATGGAAAGAAGAAAAAATGTAAATTCATTAAACACATATTTAATAAAAACTGAAAAATGTCACTGCTATCTGTACAACAAGTAAATTAGCCAATTTGGCTTAAATGCAGGGTTGCAAAAATGAGTACAACGTTGAATACATTTTAAGAAATTGTAATATTTTAGTACATAGTATGTGCTCCATTACTTTAAAACTGCTCTTCTTGGCACTGAGTGTACAACTGGCCCAACTGAGTTTGACTCCTGCTGGACGACCTCCTTAAATGCACTGGCCTTTAAAGGGTTAGTTCACCCAAAAATGAAAATTACCCCATGATTTACTCACCCTCAAGCCATCCTAGGTGTATATGACATTCTTCTTTCAGACGAATACAATTGGAGTTGTTTTAAATAATGTCCAGGCTAATCCATGCTTTATAATGGGAGTGGATGGTAGCCCAAATTTTAAAGTCCAAAAAATTGCACCCATCCATTATAAAAGAAGTCCACACGGCTCCGGGGGGTTAATAAAGGCCTTCTGAAGCGACTCGATGCGTTTGTGTAAGAAAAATATCCTTATTTACAACTTTATAAACCTTAATCTCTAGCTTCCGCTAACTGTCGTACGTGCGTTCACGAGAGAGGGCTTAATTTTCAATAAGAAGGGCTTTTTGAAAAATGTAAATTCATTCTCTCTTCATTCTTTCACTTTACGCCAGGAATATAGCCATTTCCCTAGTAGCCGGGTAAATTTTGCTACTTGCAGCACTCATATTTAATCAATTAAACCATAGCCTTTTGAAGTGTAAGCTATATCTCAAGTTGCATGTATATTTGTTTTTCCTGAGTCTCCTCCTCCCGTCCCATTTCTACCAGAGATTTTTTAACATGGGGAGTCTATGGGATTGACTCCCTTTTGCAGCCAGCCTCTAGAGGCCAGTTGATGAATTACAGTTTAAGTCACTTCCTTGTTGGCTTCATGAGAGAGAAGGAGGTTGCCGCTTGGTTTCATACAAGATCTGGCAACTGGACAACCTTGGAACTTGTTGACGTGATTCTTTATATAATGAGGTTTGGGCGAATGTAGCAAACATATAAAATACACCCAGTGGGATTTTTTCTTAGAAAGATTAAAAATACGGGATAAATATTTGGTCCCACTTTATATTAAGTGGCCTTAACTACCATGTACTAAAATATAAGTACAATGTAAAAACATGTATGTTCACAATAAGTGCATTGTACCAAATGATTAATTTAAATGCAAGTACATAGTAGTTAAGGCCACTTAATATAAAGTGGGACCAAATATTTAAACGGGATGATAGTGGGATAGAATGGTAAAATACGGGAGAATCCCGGGAAAAACGGGAGGGTTGACAGGTATGGCTACCATCCACTCCCATTATAAAGCATGGATTAGCTTGGACATTATTTAATATAACTCCGATTGTATTCATCTGAAAGAAGAATGTCATATACACCTAGGATGGCTTGAGGGTGAGTAAATCATAGGGTAATTTAAATTTTTGGGTGAACTAACCCTTTAATGGAGAGTGTTGCTCAATCTGTCTCTATGAAATCCTCCAGAGGTGCTCGAGAGAGTTAAAGTGGGGTGAAAGGCCCAGCAACGCAGGGAATGAGGAGAGGGCAGCATCTGAATTCTGAAAATGTGTGATTTCAGGACACTATTGATAAAGCACACCTTCAGCACTCATACATCCGTGCATTTCACAGCTGCAGGTTGTGTATTACTGTGTGAGATGAAACAGTCACTTTTCTCATATAGAAGCTTTTGCCCGCTCGGAGACACTTGCTTGGCATTTTCCTGCTCTTTTCTTAGCAAAAATCACTCATCACGAAATGAAAGCTTAAAGTGAAGGCCTGATTATTTCAGGAACATTGTAACAAGTCCGTTGTTTTTAAATGTAGTTGTTTTCTATGTTTACACTTACACAATGATTTGGTAATGCTCCATTGACATCTTTTGTGCAATGAAATAAGTCTCCTGACAGTTCTCTCCCAAGTGGTTGCATTGTTTTCTGAGAATGATTTAATGAGCTATGTAACACTTTCAACTGTCAAGAAATTACTCCTATTTAAATGTTTTGGTTCAAAATACTCACAGTCATCAAAAATGGCCTTTAACTTGCACCATTTTTTTTGTACTCATTTTTGCAATGCAACATTTGATCACGTTGATAGGAAAATCTTATTTTCTTAGTATTTATTGATCAGCCAGTCTTGATACAACATTATATCTTCAAGGAACCCTAATGTCTTCTATGAAAAGGGAAATGGAGAAGTTTCGGAGAGACTGTCCTCATTTACGCTGTGTCCTGTTTTACATCCTCATTGCTGCTAGATGGCGCTGTAGACGTCCTAAGCTGTTGCAACGGCCAAACAAAGCGTGTTTGAATTCTATTCAACTCCCCTAAAATAAAGACAACTAGCACAAGAGGCTGCGCATTACAGTGATTCTACCAGAAATAAAGGGATCGAGAGATCGTTTACTCACCCTCATGTCGTTCCAAACCCACAAGACGTTTGTGAAGTTTGGATTTGTAAAATAAAATGTCCATGGTAAAATCCCAGCAACCCACACTCACATTTGGCTTAATGCTTTTATAAAATGTGCCAATTAGCAATATGATAAAATGCAGCAATATTCAATATATAATCACATTTAGTACTATTAATCATTATTCTGCCGCATAAAATCGCTCATGGCATATTAGACTAATTGCAGGCTGTTAACAATCTCTCTTATCAATCAGAAATCACCTATTGCCAGAACAGAATTCATGTTATGCACCTCACACGTGTGTGTATATCGACTACTCTCCATCAGCTTCAGTGACTTCATCTGATACGATTTTGGTGCGGTTTTATAACAGGCAGCGTTTGGCCACACAGACATGTTAGCTTCATATTTCGACGTGCATTTGTTTGGGCTCTTTACTCACAGATGTGACAGCGATGCAGCGTCGTTGAAGATCCCGTCAGGCAGCTCTGAGATATCATTACCATGCAGAGACCTTAGAACAACACAAGAGACACAACCATCTGAGGCGTTAGTGACATGAAGTTTCTCTGGACACACTGATGATATATGATGCATGTTGTTCATATCTACTCAAATGTAGCAGAGCGTGTGGGGTTTGATCTTGATAAAGGGGTCAGTAGGGGTTTGCACTCAAAAAAATATTTAGGCCTAAATTTAGAGTTTAATGTGTTTTGAGTTGCATATATAATTTATATCCATTTGGACACAGTTTTAACATAAACTAATAAACTTCATGTGATGCATATTTGTTTGTCAAACATTAATGAAACAGGTCAGATTTATGGATTTTAAAACCATGGCATTGTTTATTATTAACTATTTGCATCTATTTGGTTTTATTTAAATAATAAATAAATCAATGCATTTATTCGAATTGCGTATAATCATCATAAATCTGTAAATTGTAAAAACAACACTGCAAAAAATGATTTTCTTACTTAGTATTTTTGTCTTGTTTTCCAGTACAAACATCTAAACAATCTTAAATCAAGATACATTTACTTTAGAAGCAAAGTGGCTTAAGATAGTAAGTCTTGTTTTCTGAAAACGTTATTTAAATTGTTAAGTTTTTGCTTGGGCCAACGGGGCAAGAAAAACAATCTTGTATTCCCTTTGAGTTAAGATATTTTTCTCGTTTCAAAATGTCAATCTTTTTTTTTCTTCTTCAGAAAACAAGACTTGTAATTTTGCTTCTCAAGTAAATGTATCCTGATTTGAGAGTGTTTAGATATTTGTTCTAGAAAACGAGACAAAAATACTGAGGAAGAAAATACAATTTTTGCAGTGAATTACATTTAGTGAAAAAGTTTGAACATGGTTAAAATATGAAACAAGAAATTTACAATTATTATAATTATCTTATTAAAATGATTAAAATATATGAGATTGAAACAGATTTATTGATGACACATATATAAACCTGGTTATTACTTGTTTAAAACACATTCAGTTTCTTACAGAAGTACTCTTCAGTACTATTACAGAACTCTGACCTGTTTATCATGCATCACATTAAGTTTATTAGTTAATGTTAAATCTGTAATCCAAATGGATCAAAATATGTAATTCAAATACATTAATCTTAAAATTAGGCGTATGACACTATTGTCCTCTTTAGTGCTGCTTTATAGCTGAATTTAATTTGTTTCATTATTGATGAACTTTGCTGAATCGACATCGTTATTGAATTAAACTGAATTAACACTGAACTAAACTGAGCTGAATAATGACACCATTATGTAGTGTAAAGCATTGCATAAAGCTCTATACAAATAAACATGACTTGACTTGATACACATGCATGAGCGCAGCTGTGTTTTCTGCAGGTCTTGCTGGACACCTGCACTCAGCCGGAGCTCAGGTTTATCTGTTTCCATGCTGCCGGTTCTGAGGAATTCATGGATGCTGGTGTTGGGTTACTCAACGCAAAAATGACAGGCAGGATAACCATAGAGAGACTGTTCCCTGCTTCATGATTAGCTGACAACACAGCTGTAGAGCAACAGGAGTCTTAACACAAGTATCTGTCATCTTAAGAGAAGCAGCAACAAAATCACAGCCAGTCATAATGTATCCGAATAATGTACCGCAATCTCTGCTTATTGTCTCATCACATGTTGTTTGTTGCGGTCATTACTAGTTAAGTAAAAAATGTAGATTAGCATGAAAAAGATGTGATTTTTTTGTACTTGTTTCTTGCCTGGTTAGGACAGTTAAAGGCCTTTCCACTGTCAGACCTGAAGTCAGTGATTTCCAGTGCAGAGGCAGCTGTGTATGTGGATGATCATTTCCAGATCCGAATTGAGCTTTGGATGCATTGAAATATTTGAACTTTTTTTAACATTTTGAACCCATATGCGACTGCTGACTGGATGTGATGTATCTAATCAAAACTAAGAGCGTGAGGTGAGAATTACCAGTGTTCTTTTCTCTGAAATGTTATTCTTTAAACTTGATTTTATCATTTTAACAGAATTATTTACATTGATTAGCCCTAGAAAACATTCTATGCTTTTCCTTCAAAGTAATTGGTGGCCATTTGTTTTTGTTTGAATACATTCATTCATCATTCATAATTGATTCATACACTATGGTGAATAAGCTGAAGGTAACAGCTGCTTTATGACCTGTTTGAAAGCTTCATGCGACCGCCACTAAGGGGTGAAAAGCCACAATCCTACTGGAATGTTGGAGACAATGGAAAGGCAGCTTTAGTGCTTGATGTTAGTTAGTAAAGAGCTACGTACAGCAAGCGGAGAGACCGAAGACCTCCAAAGGCCAGAGTCGGGATACAGCGAAGAGCGTTATAGCTCAGGATCCTGCAGGACAAAATCAGACAAATCCTGCAGTGAGATTTCAGTGTCTCAGCTGAGTTTCAGCATGCCATTAATGTTGTTGAGGACGTACAGGGTCGTCAGCTGACTCATGTTGGCAAACGAAGAGTTGGTCAACGAGCTGATTTTGTTGTTACTCAGGTCTCTGAAACCAAAGATCACAACATGCCCATCAAACCAAGATGACAACCTGTCCAAGAATGCATGTCTGTGAAACGCTAAGAGCGAGGCATACACTAGCTGCAGGCTTTTGAAGTTGGACAGCTCCTTCGGCACCACACTGAACTGGTTTCCATCCAGGTACCTGCAGACACAAACTCACTGTTAAAGCCATTCAGAGGACAGATTTGCATATTTATCTGCTTCTGACAGTCTTATGGCTTTAGAAGTCTTGTATGGACCACTTTCTTTCTTTGTGTCTGTATATGTGTGTGTGTGTGTGTGTGTGTGGCGCTGTAGCTCAGAGACAAAGTGTGTGAAAGTCTGCTGGGCGTTCGGCAGGACTGACGCGGCTTCTCAGCACCTGGCCGTGGTGTTTTGGTAGGAGGAGACAGCTTTAATGACTGGCTGAGAGCGCAGCACACCTGGCCAGAATCAGTGAGAGCTCTGGCTAAATGAGAGGTTTTCACACTCAGAGGAACGACAGGCATCTGCTGACGGACTGTGTGTGTCACTCCCACTGAAAACCACACTCATTACACTCCTGCTTCACACACACACTCACACACACACACACACACACACACACACACTACAGCTCTGACCAATACTGACATTATATACAGCTCTTACTGATAACAAGAAAGGTTTCACATTTATGGTTTTATCTTTGTGTGTGTGTGTGTTTTGAATCAGATGAAGTCCAAAACCAGATCAAGATAAGTCTAAGCACAGATTTATCATTTGTATTTCAGAGATTCATGAACTGCTATATGGTATCCTGAAACACTGCGTGCAAACCATGCGTGATGTGATATGAGATCTGTTAACCTTAAAAAGAATCTTTAAAGAATGATTAAAGAGTTAAAGAGTTATGAAAGAATCTTAAATTAAAGAGTTTTTGTAACCAGCAACAACACAAACTTTAAATTTAAGATACATGTATTTGAATGGCATAACCAAATTCTATATGCAATTCAAATACATCTTAAATTTAGGCATAAATATTTTTTGAGTAACATTTTCTCAGTTGCTGGGTTTCTATCTCTGTGAATTGCTCTGGGTATCTCCGCCCACTGTGAAACCTCATTGGTCCTCATCTTGTTTCACATTAACATGACATGCTCTGATTGGCTGTGATTTTATACCTTTTTTGAGGGAAAAAGTATTTGATGCTGGAAACTTCAGGATACAAAGACAGAAGGTGTAATCGTGTTCAGAGTTTTGACTCACAGCTCAGTGACGTTGCGCGGGATTCCTTTGGGTAAGACGTGCAGGTGTTTGTTGCTACAGCGGACCATGGTCTCCAGACAAGTGCACTCGGTGGGACACTGGACGGGCGGCGTGCAGCTCGCTTCTTCTTGATCTGCCCACATCAGAGAGACAGAGGCAGTGAATCAACATACTGTGATACAATCAAAAACATAACAATGCAGTGTGTCAAATCAATATTTATAAAGAGAAGAGCGTGTACCCTCTTGGCAGCGGAAGTCTGGTAATGCTACATCCTGCAGGGGAATCTCTTTGAGGAACGCCGGCCGCTGACAGCGCGGGTTTCCCGTGACTATCTTACGGTTCCTCAGCCAGCTGCTCAGCCATGCCAGATGGCAGTTACAGTTGAATGGGTTGGCCAGCAGGTTTCTGCCACACACACACACACAAAAAATATATTAATTAGCCTCGTCTGCAGCACCAAGTGTTTTTTTTACTTTAAACCGCATAAACACATTTCATTACACCAAATACACAAAATAATGTTCTTTTTAGCAGCATCATATGACCCCTTTAAACAACAAGCTACTCTTTCCACGGAGGATTATTTTGTAATGCATTATGCCTAACACTGGATCTCTAGTGTATGGTGCAGCATAATGACTGGTATCCACCCTTCACCTACATCCCATCATGCTTTGTGTGAATTATGGGAGTAAATTTCATCATGTTGTCGATAATCAGGAATGAGATAATTTATAGGCTTGCATTAATGCCTGTTCACACCAAAGATGATAACTTTAGGTTACTAACGTAACCCCGGTTCTCTGATAACATGAAGTGAGGTATCTCACTATGGGAATACCCCAGGCATGACCGATTGCGGAAGCACCAATGACTCCATGTCTGCCAATCACGGTAGACCAATAGCTGCACCGATCAGGTAGTCCCGCCTCCCTGCAGCTACATGCCGTTTCGTCATTCTCAGCATATCTCTTCTCCGTGCAGAACAGGCAAGGAGGGTAATACTGTGAGATACCTCACTTTGTGTTATTAGAGAACTGGGGTTACGTTAGTAACCTAAAGTTCCCTTTCTAACATTAGTTCGGTATCTCACTATGGGATATACACAACTCCGAATTGCTGATATGCTGACGAAGCAGACTGAAGATGAATATGATCTGAATTAAACCTCTTCGACCCAACTAAAATGCTTAAAGCAGACCAGTATAGACTGAAAATTTCGATACTACAATAAACTGGATTACCCAAGTGCTTAATGTACAATTTGTCCACTCGCCTTCAAGACCGAATGGGCAAGTGAAGGTTCTGTCACGTCTAGTCTATAGAACCTCACAAAAGTGTGCTACACAAAAGACCAGCTAGCAACAGCACAAATTTCCTGGATAGAAATGCCCTTAAATAGTGCCCAAGACGTAGCTATACCTCTGGTAGAGTGAGCTTGTAAGTCCTTTGGGGGCTCTATATTTGCGCTATCGTAATATAACAAGATCGCCTCTACAACCCAGTGCGAGAGGCATTGACGGGAGACAGGCTTTCCCTTAAAAGAGTCGCCCACAAAACAAAAAGCTGATTGCTTTTGCGAAGTGCCCTGGTTTTTTGTACATACATTAGTAGAGTCTGCACCGGACATAAACAGTGTAGTTTATGTCCTCCTCTGGACATGAAAAAGGTGGCGGATGGAAAGCCATCAGATCCACAGATTGACCTGAACCAGCATGATCGAATACGTGATCAAATACATGAGACCAGCGGTTTTGATACTGGGTGTATCGGCAGACGAGAGGATGCTGGCCTATAGTACCCGAGTCAAGTCCTATATGGCATGCCAAGATCACGACCAATTAAACCTTAACCGTTGAAAAGGCTGTACCCTTATCCAGGAGGTCTTGCAAGAAACAGAACACATCCAAAATTGAACATAAATAAGGGACGTTTCTTTCTGCGCACCATGCTTCGAACACTCCCCATTTAAAACTGCATAAAGAGCACATAGACGCAGCTTTCTGAATTTCCTCAATGACCTTTAGAGGTAAACCAGCTGAATTTAAATTCAACCTCTCACGGGCCAGGCCCAGAGAGATAGTTTGGGTGGATAGAGGGGATGGGTGGAATATTTCGGCCCGTACTTGAGAGAGAAGATCCCTGTGTGCTGGTAGTGACCATGGTTGGTCGTAGAGCAGCTGTGCAATTTCCGCTACCCACAGTCTTACTGTTATGCGTACAGTAACACGTCTGCCCATTCATGGGCTAGAGCATCCACACCAAATGGTACATCGTCGCCCACTAGAGAGAACAGGGGACATTGCGCGTTTTCATGCGATGTGAAGAGGTCTACGGCAACTCGACCGAATCTCTGCCATATCATCAGAACCACTTGGGGGTGAAGTCTCCACTCCCCGTATAGCGGGTTCCCTCTGGACAGTAAATCCGCTCCCCTGTTCATTATCCTCGAAACATGCGTCACATGCAATGACAGGAGGTTTGTGCTGCCCCACATTAGCTTGTTTGCTAACATGTGAAGCTTGCGAGAGTGTACACCTCCCTGTTGAGTTATATAGGCTATCACCGTAGTATTGTCTGTTCTGACCAATACATGATGATTCTTGAGGAATTGCACAAAATGTCTCAGAGCTAAAAACACTGTCAGTAGCTCCAAAAAATTGATGTGCTCCTCTCTCAGTGCAGGAGACCAAACTCCTCTCACTGTTCTGCCTTCGAACACAGCCCTCCAGCCCGTGAGAGATGCGTCCGTCATCACCACTTTTCTCAATACAACCGGACCCACAGGGCATCCTGTCCTGAGAAATGATGGCACTTTCCAGTGACGAAGAGCGCTCATGCATTCTGGTGAGAAGTGCACTCTGTGGCTGAGACAGCTCCTGGTGCGGATGACTTGTGATGCTGCCCAGTTCTGGAATTCCCTCATTCGCAATAGACCCAGATGGACTACTGCTAGTGTTGAGGCCATCAGACCCAGTAACTGGACGCACAATCTGAGACAGACTGTTTTCCCTCGTTGAAAAAGGGAGATGCAGTGGTAAAAAGCCTTGATGCGCTCCTCTGATAGCTAAAAGCTCAAAACACCACTGAATTCAACCTATGACCCAGGTAGATTATCTCCTGTGAAGGAATCAGACAGCTTTGCCTGGTTTATCTTGAAACCTAATCTCTCCAGATGAGACACCAGTGTATTTGTATTGAGCTCTGCTTGGTGCGGAGATGGTGAGCAAATGAGCATATTGTCTAGATAAGATGAGACTCTGACTCCCGTATTCAGAACCCCCTCTACACATTTGCTGAATACCCTCGGAGCTAGACAAAGGTCGAAAGGAATTTTCACATACTCATATGCTGTGTTCTGATATGCAAATCTCAGATACTTCCTGTGTGCAGTAAAGATATCTATGTGAAAATATGCATCCTGGAGATCTACCTGACGAATATTTTGACACAATGTTTTGAGTGAAAGCATTTTGAACTTTGTTTGTTGAGGACTTGCAAAGCCAGAATGGGACGGAGACCTCCCCCTCTTTTCGGAATCACAAAATAACGGGAGTAAAAGCCCTGCTGCCTTTTTCCATTGGAATTATTCTTATAATGCCTTTTCTCAGTAAAGAGGATATTTCTTCCTCCAAAACCTGAGTTGACTCTCCCTGGGCTACTGACATTACAACTCCATTGAACACAGGAGGTTTTACAGTGAGCTGGAGTCTGTAACCTCTGCCTATAGTGGCTAAAACCTAGGTATGAACTACACATGCGCACCAGTTCATTACTTGAGTAGCGAGAGGGCCTTTCCTGTCTTCGCTCACTAGTAACAGAGTTATATTCATATATGTTTGGTTTGATTTTTTGTGATTCTTTTCTTTTTTAATCCCACTCTGCACCCTTAGCCCTTTGCCTGGATGTGACAGATAATTTTTATTTGTATTGGGATGCTTGTGAACTTTTGGCCTTCCTCCCTCAGAACAAATCCCATGGGTAGAGGGGGAGACAATGTGTTGGGGGGCACCTGGGGAACATGGGCCACACTCCTGCACACATTTGACACTGAACAGTCTGCAAGAACAATTTCTGTATTTGAATTCCTTCTTTTTTTCTCCCCGCGGGAGGGAGATGTGTATCTTTCTGAAGGGATGAGACAGAGAAACACCTGAGTGCTGTCTTCAATCCCTTGCTGAAGCTGAACTGATGTCTCAGGTAGACAGTCTCTTCTTTCTACCCTGGGGGTTAGCTGAACAATTCGAACGATTTCGCTGCTGCGGCTGTGTAAGACGGTTTTGGTTTCAAAATCGATAGACAACTTAGCCGTGGCCCTGAGACAGACCTCCAGAAGATCTGTGTCCACCTGTACAGGGGAGGGTGAGCTCTCATCCTGTGCACTTGGCAAACGGACTGATTTGTGGGGAGAATGGCATCTTCATCGTCGTCATCCTCTTCTTTGAGGATGGTCAGCACCTCATCACCGTCATCTTCCTCTCCACTAAAAGATTTTCAAACAGCGAGGGAAGGACAGGTGATCCATCAGTGTGGATCAGTGTGATCCACACACTATCCATCATATCTCCCTACGAATTTGAGGCCTGTGGACACTCCATGGGTTCCTCTATTGATTGAGCAGAGGCATGGGTCCGATTATCCAGTGGCTACCACTCTCCTTTCTCGGGTTTTAGTCGAGAAAATCGTGCAGTGAAGGCAGCCATCGGGGTTGGATAATGCTTCCTGAGCGTCTTTAGCACCCAGGCAGGAGATGCAGAGACTGTGAGAATCCTTGGCAGCATTATTCACGCTCCACGGGTGCAAGGATGTGGAGGACGGCCTTTCCCTACGTGGCTTTCTGGCTCTTTCGAGGTGGCCATGAAGGAGCCTGCGCTCTCTTCGTACGATAAGTCCACCACAACGTGAAAACTAGTACGGAGCTGTGCTAAGAGTAGTGAGGTCTCTTTTTCCCTCTTTTTGGTGTGTGATGAGCGCCACCAAAACTTGGGGAAAAAAGTAGACTATTGAGAAACTTAGAGCTGAAAAACTTAACGCGTTAGTTATCCAATTCCAAGTGCAGTCACTCAAAGAGCGTAAGAAAATATTGCATTTGGGACGTTACCTTGTGGCTTCATCGGTAAACTGTTGAGCAATAATACCAAAAGTCTACTGAGGAGGTAGCTGCGGTTTATAATATACAGGGAGGCGGGACTCCCTGATCACTGCAGTGATTGGTCTGCCGTGATTGGCAGACATGGTGTCATTGGTGTTTCCGCAATCGGTCATGCCTGGGGCGTTCCCAGAGTGAGATACCAAATGAATGTTAGAAAGAGAACTATAACTATAAAGTTTTAATATTCTTTCATATTCATTCTAGATCTATGAGAATATGGAAGTCCACACCACAACTATAACGATAAAACCACAGAGGAACAATATCACTAGAAATCCCTTCCAGGACATTTTTCCAGCCAATGAACAATCAGAACACTGACAGCCAATCAGAATCCAGCTGACTTTAAAGCGCTCCAGCATTTAAAGCAGCAGACGACAAAACTGCAGAACATGATTGTAATAAACAGAACATTGTCATTCATCGGTGTGAACGTGAATATATAGTTATCATTATCTTTATAGTTATCATTCTTGGTGTGAACAGGCCTTTATGCTAGCAATAATAAAGCTTCATGAAAATTGGGTAAAAGCCAGATACAGTGTGTTTATCGCATCTTGACCTTATTATTTTATAATAGTTCGTTTCAGAAACGTAGTGCATTTTGTACAATGCAGCATGCTTTTTGAGAAAAAAAAAACCATTCCTGTAGCTCAAAAAGTAGAGCATGGTCAAGTTCATGGGTTCGATTCCCAGGGAATGCAGGGAATGTGGCCAAAATGACACATTATGACTTGTTGCCAGAAAGTCTAATTTTGTCTATTTTGACTCATTGCATTGGCAGATTTCTAGGGTTGGATTCTGATGGTTTCAGCCCTGGTACTGTGGGTCTGAGGTGGGAAAATATGAAGTTCATCAGTAAAGGCCCTCTCACACTGAGTGCGAAACGATAAAGTGAAGTGAATCACCAGCAAACGGTGCTTTCACACTAAGCATGAAACAACTACCAAAACCTTCAGTTAATTCCCATCTGCACGATAGGTGGTGCTGACAGAGGATGCATTTTACGCCTGCATACTAGGTAGTGCAACTCACTACTCCGCTGATCGTCCTATCATCTTTGACCAACTGAAAAGAAGAATCACTTAAATGTTTGGCACATAGCACACGCAAACTGTTAAGAAGCCAGGCGCTAAGCATCCTCAAACGAAAGCAAGAGCATGTGTTGTCATTCTATTTGCCTTGTTAGAAAAAGTAACAAAGTAGTATGCTGTGGTTAAAGAATAAAATGTTAAATTTTTCTGAATGGTGTTTCTAATATAATTGCATTATATAATACTTTTCTTCGATTTTTACGCTGGTTTTCAAAACAGCTTTCTGTGCTATAGTGCCACCAATCTCGCCCTTGTGTGCAATGTGATCTAAAGCTCATTGGATGGCTCTTTCATCGCAGGGCAATGGGGGAAAAATTCGACACACTGGTCGGAAAAAAATCTCGCTTTGTCGTGCCGCGATTGATCGCGCCCGGTGTGAATGGCTCCATAGGGATCTATTGTTTTGATTCAAGAACGTCATCGCTCTGTACATTTGCATCGCTTAATCGCACTCAGTGTGAAAGGCTGACAAAGCTTTCGAAAGTCAAATGATAACAACGAATGAGTGAATAAATGTGGAAAATACACAGTTAAATCAACTGAAAAAAAAATGCTGAAGAAACTGTCAGGCTCCAATGGCACGGCTTCCCAGCAATGAGCCGGCTCAAGTTAATGATTACAGGAAACATCTGTCTCTACCACCACATGCTAAACTCCTTCTCAGGATTTCTGCCAATGTGTGTTGAGATAGAGCAGCGGTTTGGCTCGTACAGGGTTGAGAGGCTTTGCAGCGTGTCGAAGGCTCCGGGTGTGATGGTGGTCAGCGTGTTGTCGTAGAGCGACAGCAGACGGACGTTGTGCAATCCTGTGAAACTGTTGTTGTGAATGCAGCTGATGCGATTGTTGCGCAGCATTCTAGAAGAGAAAGATGTGAAGATGAATTCACAGAAAGAAAACCATATATTATGGCCGAATCTGACTGGTTTTTGGTGGGAAAAACTGGGCTCACAGCATGCGCAGGCCATCCAGCCCTCTGAACATCCCGCTGTGCGCTGAATCCAGCTGGTTTGCCGTCAGGTGCAGCTCATTGACCGAAGTCGCCCCCTCAAATGCCCCGTCCTCGATCTCTGAGATCTTATTGTTGCTCAGGTTTCTGCAGATCAAACGGCAACATCAGTGAAGCATCACAACCAGAGCGTCACTCAGACGTGAAAGCGGCGACACTTACATTTTCTTCAGGTGAGAAAGCGTCTTGAAAACCCCTGTGGCCTCTATCATCGTGATCTCGTTATTGTTGAGACGCCTTGAGAAAACAGAATGAGATTTAATAAAATAACAGACTTCTGGCATTCATTGTTTGCAGACATATAGCGCGATGTGTTTGTTACAGTCTTACAGTTCAGTGGTGGATGCTGGGATGTGTTCAGGGATGCGGTTCAGCCGTAGATTGGAGCAGTCCACTACATTCGACTCGCAGCGGCATTTGGCTGGACAGACTGGGTCATTATTACAGTCATAGCTCAGCCTGGCGTCCTCCGTCCCTGCAGCACACACAACACTGTCGTATTCCAGGCGTTTGAGCAGAGACTCGCAGTGAGACACGATCAGGGAAATGTCAGAAGAACTTAAGAGAGGAAGTGTCTACATGCACCAAAGCTCAAGGCTGTTATCTAACAAGTGTTCAATAATTAAAGTGCACGCGAGTGTTTGTCATTGCAACCACCACCAAATCCCCATAGTTGGCATGATCTTATAATTAGGCACCATAATGATTTTTTACTTTGTTGTACTGAAATTAAAGTAGCTGCTCAAACATAGACTATTAAGAAAACCACGGCTTTGTATCATGTTAATGAACGCGACACACACTCACCTGGGATGACATACTGCTCTTTGGCTGCGACAGAGACACAAGAAGACAATAATCACCAAAACTGATCATACACCTTGAGAATACAAATACATAAGGCCACAGATGGGCTTTGGAAAATGGACTATATCAGTGATGGAAGCCAACAGAGATATAGTATAGTAGAGTATTACTGTATAGGCTCCTTTTGTGTAGTGTGTATACAGTAGTACAGTGCTGTGGTGTTCAGCATGAAAAATGGAGATTTGACATTTTTCAGGCTTGTATTTTGGTATGTGTATCAATCCATTTCACCAGCTGTTGTGTAGAGGCTTTCTTGGACAAAACACATGTGTGAGAATCAGCTCTGCAAATAGTATTTTCCTGAGGTTCTCAGTATCAAGCATTTAATTCACATACTATATGTAACACAGAAAATAATGCCGTTTAAGATTCCTGCATATGATTGTGATCCATTTTCCAGAACAAAACATTATGTTTTTAAGCCTTCATTAAACAGAATTGGAAACTATTTGTGATAAATCACAATCTGTCATTTCTAAAAAAAAAAAACACTGTAAGCACAAAACACACAGTATATTCTGCTGTTCAGAAGTGTGTATTTTTTTATGTTTTTGAAAGAAGTCTCTTCTGTTCACCAAAGCTGCTTTTATTTGATCAAAAATACAGTAAAAACAATTTTATTTGCTGCTCAAGAAACATTCTCTGTAAGAAATTGATCAAAAGGACAGTAAAAACACATTTATAATGTTATAAAGATTTCTGTTTCAGAAAAATGCTGTTCTTTGAACTTTCCAATCAACAACGAATCCTGAAAAATAAAATGCATCACGGTTTCCACAAAACTATTTGGCAGCGCAACTGTTTTCAACACTGATAATAATCAGAAATGTTTCTTAAGAAGCAAATCAGCATATTAGAATGATTTCTGAAGATCATGTGACACTGAAGACTGCAGTAATGATGCTGAAAATTCAGCTGCGCATCACAGAAATAAATTACATTTGAACAGATATTCACATAGAAAACTGTTTTAAATTGTAATAATATTTCACATTTGTACTGTATTTTTTGTCAAATAAATGAAGCCTTGGTGAGCAGAATAAACTTCTTTCAAAAATATTAATTATTCCAAACTTTTGACTGCTAGTGTATATTTAGCAGACGCTATAATGTGATAATACTCGTTTTACCTGCAGACTGACTGTAATTTATCGTGTGGAAAACTACTCATTCAGTCACGCTCATATTGTTTTTGATGAACAGATGGATAGTCAGTATGACTGTGTGTTTGATAAACATCATTTAGTTTTGACTAGTGTTTAAAGTTTGAGGTTTACGCAGTGCTGTTGGTGGTTTTGTTTTTGTACGGTTTGTGGTTTTGAGGATTGTGTTGTAGGCTGAATTGCCAGTGTTTTACCGGAGCAGCGGAACTTCTTGCTCTTGATCTGGCCGATGCGTTTGTTGGCGAGCCGGCGAGGGCTGGTGCAGCGGGCGCCGCTGGTCTCGATGGGGTTGGAGCGCAGGTAATCAGCCAGCCACTTCAGATTACAGTCACAGATGAAGGGATTCTGAGCCAAATGACTGCAGTGAGACAAACACATTCACCTTATCAACACCCATGTGCAGTCACATGCTCTGCTGTGCATTCGGCTCATCTAGCTGCTTTTACAGCAAGATTTATACAATTCTTCATATACACCTCATATGGTGAAGAAACATGTTAAACATGATCATGAATACACTGGGAATTTTGCTTTAACCTCCTGTGTGGAGCTGCATTTTACATGAGTGAAGCTGGATATTTTATAAATATATTCAGAGGATATAGTGTGTGTGTGTGTGTGTGAGTGAGTGTGTGTGTGAGAGTGTGTGTGTGAGGGTGTGTGTGTGTGTGAGTGAGGGTGTGTGTGTGTGTGAGTGAGGGTGTGTGTGTGTGTGAGTGAGGGTGTGTGTGTGTGTGAGTGAGGGTGTGTGTGTGTGTGAGTGAGGGTGTGTGTGTGTGTGAGTGAGGGTGTGTGTGTGTGTGAGTGAGGGTGTGTGTGTGTGTGAGTGAGGGTGTGTGTGTGTGTGAGTGAGGGTGTGTGTGTGTGTGAGTGAGGGTGTGTGTGTGTGTGAGTGAGGGTGTGTGTGTGTGTGAGTGAGGGTGTGTGTGTGTGTGAGTGAGGGTGTGTGTGTGTGTGAGTGAGGGTGTGTGTGTGTGTGAGTGAGGGTGTGTGTGTGTGTGAGTGAGGGTGTGTGTGTGTGTGAGTGAGGGTGTGTGTGTGTGTGAGTGAGGGTGTGTGTGTGTGTGAGAGAGAGAGTGTGTGTGTGTGTGTGTGTGTGTGTGAGTGTGTGTGTGAGACCTACAGCACATTGTTGGACCAGCCAGCAGTGTAAGCAGATTACTTCTGAAATCTAAACTATTACTGATTACAAATTACACAACTGTAATCATTAATGCAATCTTTTAGATTACACTTTATGGATAATCTAGTCAAATTACTTTTGCTTGTATTACCTCCAGTTACTCTTATTTGTCACATGCAAGATCAGTGGAACATATTCATTTATTCATTCATTAATTTCAGTGGAACATATACAGTACAGGTTCATTACCTGTTGCATGTTTTTATGCAAATACAATCACTAGGTTTAAATCTATGTGATATAATTAAGACTCCTTAACATTAGACATGCAAGCAAGCAAGTTCTCTTTTGATTATCAAAGAATCTTGTTTAAAAACCGTAAAAGCGTCTGGTCTGAGTGTGAGCTCACAGGGTCTGGATGGTGCGCAGCGAGGTGAAGGTGCCCTTGGCCAGCGTTTGGATTTTATTGTCATATAAAGAAAGCAGCGAGAGATTCTGCAGGTCCTGAAAGGTGTTGGCGCGAAGACAGTGGATCTTGTTTGCATTCAAAAGGCTGGAAACAAAATGAGGAAGAAAGAGATGCAGATGAAACTGACACATGCCAAATAATAGTGAGCTAGTTTCTTATTTTTATAATAAACTGATTCAATCTAAAGTACTTCCCAGCCCTAAAGAAACTCTTTAATATCTCGATGGATTCTCCAATAGAGAGCAAATGGGGCAAATTCTTTCACCACCAAATGATCTGAGCTGTTCTGTCCACATTGATTTTATGGCTCTATACTCGTACGCAACCTCTGAGCAAAGAAATCTCGCTCTGGAAGAGACTCTCACTCACAGCAGCTGGAGGGTGTAGAGTCCATCGAACACTCCTGTGGGCAGATCAGTGATCTTGTTGCCGTACAGAACCCTGAACACCAGAGAGACAGTCAGCAGAAGACCACATACACACATCCAGCTCATCCTTACTGCTAAAGATCATACATGAGCTGCAGATCTCAGTAAGTCCTGGTGGAACTTTGTTGAATGACATTAAAATATGCAATTCTCTTGGCTCACATCAGAAATATATTTCTGGTATAGACTGACTTTTAGCAGCTGAAATGATTTCAAACAAGAAAAAAAGGGACTTTTTTGCATTAAAGGAATAGCTCATCCAAAAATGAAAAATTTTCCCCAAACAAATCCACACAACCCCAGTCCATCAAAAATGAAAAGCTGCGTTATTTGTAAAAAACGAATTGTTTCCAGCTAAAATATGAGTTCATAATGCATAATAACGCTTCCTCCAGTGAAAAAGTGCATCTCCTGTTGTCTCTCACATCAGAATCCAGCCACTTATTTGTTTAGAGCTGTTTAAACGGTGCTTGATCTGTGCAGATTTCTCTCCTGATTCACACCAGAACACTTTTTCACTGGAGGAAGCGTTATTATGGATTATGGACTCGTATTTTTAGCCCGGAAGTTAAAATCGTCTAAATGATGGATTTGTTCCTTTTGTCTTCTCCAGATGTTAATTGATGGACTGGAGAGCTGTGGATTATTGTGATGTTTTTATCAGCTGTTTGGACTCTCATTCTGACGGCACCCATTCACTGCAGAGGATACACTGGTGGATATATCCAAATCTGATAAAGAAATAAACTCATCTACATCTTGGATGGCCTGAGGGTGAGCACATTTTCAGCACATTTTCTTTTTTGGTTAAACAATTTCTTTAAAGTCACGATGAAACAAAAGTATCAACATATTGTGATGTAGAAAAAAATGAAACATATACATGGATAAATTGTTTCAAATACAACTGTTTACAAAATAGATTGAGTGAATTTTCATTACATGCCGACTTCAAGAAAAAATGTAGCCAGATCAGTGGATAAATCTGCTGACTTACAAAATCTCAAACTGATGGAATTGACATACAGAAAGTTAGGATGCAGTGAAGGGTTGCTCATGAATATTAATGAGTTTACACCCAGAAAGGTTACCTAGCAAAGTCAGCATGCTGCAAACAGCTTCTGATGCACTAAACACACTAAGCATCCTCTACTGTACTTACAGCACACACACACACACATAAACACACACACACACACACACACACTCACACACACACACACACACTCTCCCTCTCACTCTCACACACACACTCACACACACACACACACTCTCACTCTCTCTCTCACTCACACTCACACTCACACTCACACTCACACACACACACTCACAGTGAGTTTAGGGAGCGCAGGCCCTGGAAGGCATCAGGAGCGATCTCAGAAATCTGGTTGTTGCTGAGATCTCTGTAAAGACAGACAGAAGGAGAATGAAGACACGCTTCTGGTTCAGAGTGTCAGTAGATGATCTCAAGCCATGAGAGCTGGCCTGTATCACGCTGGATCTGGGCTGTTTTTGGCTCATGTGGCTGTAGGTATGTAAATGGGTAGCTCTGAACCTCCAGCCCTGCTGTGGTGGCGCTGTGGTGAGGACTATTAGTAAACGGCAGGCATTATAGGCCCTGGAGAAGACTTTAATAAGCCTGCGGTCTAGCCATCAAACCACACGCCAGTACAGCGCTGCAAACAGTCAGAGAGAAAATACTCACAAGATGGGATGTGAATTTATAGAGTGGTGGAGATTTGGGTTTTTACAAGCTGTGCTACATCTCAACTTTAAAGAGAGTGAATATCACACTGTTTAAATGGGTCAGGCTGGTTTAAGGTGGTCTACCACAGTGGTTCCCAACCCTGGTCCTTGAGGCACCCCAACACTGCATATTTTGCATGTCTTCTTTCTCTGACACACCAATTTCAGGTCTTGAAGCCGCTACTAATGAGCTGATGACCTGAATCAGGTGTGTTTGATTAAGGAGACATGCAAAACGTGCAGTGTTGGGGTGCCTCCAGGACCAGGGTTGGGAACCACTGGTCTACCACATCAACCATGGCTCCAGCTGTGAGTCCATTTAGAGCAGGTTAAAAGTCAGAACAGTGGATTCCAGCATCTCTCAGCCACTGAGTTTTATATGACTGTTTAAACTGGATTATCAATAAAATCGAATCAAAAAATAGGCCGTTGAAGTACTGTGAATTTGATCTGATTGTTACCTCACAGTGACCATATTGTCTATAAAAGTATGTTGCACACATGAGAGGAGTGTTGTGTTATCTTAGCTGCTGCAAACGTACATTCTGCGCAGTTTCTTATAAGGAGAAAACGCTCCAGGAGGGATGGATTTGATGCTGTTCTGTTCCAGTCGTCTGCCAAAAGAGAAATACAGAAGAATGTAAGCAATATTGCAACATTCACTTTTTTTTTGGCTCTCTGTGTTGTCTGACATCTCAAATCCACATCAGCAGAAGCCACAGACACACTCCCACTCTATATCAGCCACAATCAGCAGTCGTAGTCTTGTGTGTGTCGGAGTATATACTCTCTGCCCTCAATTCTGGAATGATGCATCAGTAAAGCAGAATACATTCATGTATGGAGCTTGCTTTATTTTTAAATTCATAAAACTTCAGTTTGCAGGTTTAGACACTTTTTTTCAAAATAAGAAGAAGAAACAATCACTGAATACTTAGGGCCAGATTTATTAACAGCTTGCGCCATTGCAAACCGTCTTTTGGTGTTAAAATAGTACTGTCAGGATTTACTAAAGACGTGCGCAGTGACGAATTAGCACTGAAAAGGCATGGACAGTTATTTTTGCGCCTGACCTTATTGAAAATGCATTTGTAGGAGTTTCCCTTTCAGATGCAAAATTTATGGTTGGAGAGTATTTAAATGGTACAAATTACTGGTAATTGCGCCATTATTTAACGCTCCAAAAAAAGCATGTCTTAAAGCAGATGCTAATTTGCGCTGCTTTTGGTAGATTTGCGTTGGCCATTATGGAAATTATCTGGCTGCGCCTGTGTCAGTAAATCACCCGCAGAATTTTCCACTCCCATTAGCACTTTTTTGGAATTGCTATCACGCTAATTTGCCCTGTTTAGTAAATCTGGCCCTTAGTGTAATGAAATGTTTATTTGCAAAGGCCAGCATTGGTATGCCAGAGCATGAGATCATGAAGCTCCGCCCTCTTCTGAAAAGGGAGGCGGGAGCTCCAGCTTATTTGCATTTAAAGGGACAAACACAAAAACAGTGAGTTTTGGCTCATACCCTAAAAGTGGCAATTTTAACAAGCTATAAAAAATTATCTGTGGAGCTAAAACTTCACATACACACTCTGGGGACATCAGAGACTTATTTGACATTTTGTAAAAAGGGGCATAATAGGTCACATTTAAATGTAATGCATAAACATTAGGGTGGCACTTCTTGGGGAGTAAATTTTTTTATTGGAAATGTTAACCTCATTTGTTTCTCCACTAGAAGTATGTAATGTGTGCAAAATACCATCCAGATAATTTGTCATTTAGGGTGTGCTCAACGAATTTATCTTTTTATCAACAGGTACTTCAAAATTTGATTGGTGATATTAGCAAAGGTTTTGTTCACAAAAACTAAACTTTTGACTGTTTCTGATATCAGATGACTCTCGAACCATTAGGCCACAACTGCCCCTTTGCTTCTCCACTGGAAGTAGGGGCAGTTGTGGCCTTATGGTTAGAGAATCGGACTTGTAACCCGAAGGTTGTGGGTTTGAGTCTCAGTACTGGCAGGGATTGTAGGTGGGGGAGTGAATGTACAGCGCTCTCTTCCACCTTCAGTAACCACGACTGAGGTCCTTGAACAAGGCACCGATCCTGTAGTTGCTGTTCCTGGTGTGTGTTCACTACTCACCGATGTGTGTGTGCACTTGGATGGGAATGCAGAACACAAATTCAGAATATGGGACACCATACTTGGCAACATGTCACGAAAATGGCAGAACACTCGCAACTTCTTTGTTATGATCGTGGCCTAAATGAAGATCCTGGTACCTGGGCAAACAATGCAACTGCAAGATAGAGGCGTTGTGCTTATCCAAGAGTACAACGGACTCCTCTCAAAGACTGAAGAACAAACGCAGTTCATTATGCAGATTGTCAGAGAGCGGCAAAATCTGTTTCCAGGTCCCCGCAAGAGTACTGTGGTTGAAGGACTTGTCGGAAGAGGGTGTAATGTGCGCACATCCCAAAAACTTTGGGCAGGTGCTCGATCATATGAAACCCTTCACAGTCAATAAACAAAAACTGGCACACTGCCACTACTGCTCTCAAAAATGTATTAAAATCAATTTTAATAAATTTTTGAGAGCAGTAATGACAGTGTGCCGATTTTTGTTTATTGACTGTGAACTTGTTGGATCATCATAAATATCAAGATCAGATCTCAGTTTTTTTCCAAGTTCACTTTCCTCACCAGTACAGTAATTTCACTATTTAACATTCTGCTTCTACATCTGCAAGAACTTATCACCATCTAGATCAAATCACAATTTTTCAAAGATCAGTTCTCATCAGCAGCGTTGTAATTTTATTATTTTTTTAAAATATTTTATTTTTGGTGTTTTATGCCTTTATTTCGATAGGACAGTAAGTGGACAGGAAGCGAAGTGGGAGAGGGAGAGGGGGACGGGATCGGGAAAGGTCCGCGAGCCGGGACTTGAACTCGGGACAGGTCTAACAACACTGTTCTGTGTTCTCCTTTTTAACCTAATTCACAGTTTACTAATGGTCTTGTATAATTATTAATTACGTGCTGTTATGGTCATTAAAACAGAATTTCAATTTTGTTGAGCACACCCCAAACGTAATCCAATCTCAGTAAAATTTGTTTGTTTCAAAAGTCCAAAAATAAGGGCCACCCTAACAAACATGTAAATGTGACCCTGGAGCACAAAACCAGTCTTAAGTCGCTGGGGTATATTTGTAGCAATAGCCAAAAATACATTGTATGGGTCAAAATTAGAAATTTTTCTTTTATGTGTCCTACCGTAAATATATCAAAACTTAATTTTTGATTAGTAATATGCATTGCTAAGAACTTCATTTGGGCAACTTTAAAGGAGATTTTCTCAATATTTAGATTTTTTTGCACCCTCAGATTCCAGATTTTCAAATAGTTGTATCTCGGCCAAATATTGTCAGAACCTAACAAATCAATGGAAATCTTATTTATTCAGCTTTCAGATTATGCATAAATCTCAATTTTGAAAAATTTACCCTTATGACTGGTTTTGTGGTCCAGGGTCACAAATACTACATACAGTAATTCTTCCAAAAAGTAGTCTGAATTCCCATGCGTGTATGATTTCTGTGGCCTGGCTGGAATGACCGGTCATAGAAATTCATGGCAAACAATCTCTCTCTTGTGGCAGAAGCTTGGAGAACAGAGTGAACATCAGCAGCGCTGATGAAGGCGGACGCAGTGCGTCTTTTTCTCAGGTGTGGATGCCATTAGTGTCTGTGGGGGCTGCCGGTGTTTTTAAGGGTCTGCTTTAATGGCACACCCTGCAGGTTCAGGCCACAGCGCCGTTGAAGAAAGCAGTTGTTTTCAGTCTAAAAAGCCTCATTTAAAACAGGAAAGTCATTTGTTAGGGTCATTTAGTGCCTTCAGAGCCACAGGCAATAACAGTTTGACTTAAACACTTGCAGAATTTCCCTTCTCTTCAAAAGCTGGGCACTCGCTAGGAAATATAGAAACACAATTTACATTCTTTGGATTGCAGTGATTCCAGACAGCACATTCCTGTGGTCTTCTCTCTGCAGACTGAGCTTTTCAGTCTCTGCAAGCGTGTCTGTCCTAGATCTTGCCACTGTAATCAACAGATCGCAAGTGGCTATAGTTCCTTCTCTCACATCTGGAAGTAGTGCGCCATAATCGTGTGTGTGTGTGTCTGTGCGTGCCAGTTATTCACATTATACTGGCCTTTGTGTTTTAGTACAGGACCCTTAGAAGCTCAAACTTTTGCATTTGGAAGACGCTTTCATCCAAACTGACTTACATTGAATTCAAGATATACATTTGTCCAGTTCATGCCTTTTCTGGGAATTGAACCCACAACCTTGGTGTTGCTTTGCAACATGCTCTAACGTTTGAATGACAGGAACTTTAATGTTTGGTTTTTTTCAACTGTTACTACTTTCAGAGAACATTCAAAAGAAATATTCCCATAATGTTTGCAAAATGATAGAATGGAATGTTCCCCAAACGTTCGTATAACCTAGAAAAAAAAAAAGTTTTTAAAACACTTAAAAAACTAAAATCAGAACTGTCAGAAATTATGCATATTATATTGGCCTTTGTGGGTTTTTAGTACAGTTTGTGTGATTTTAGTTGATCCAAAGCGACTTACATTGCATTCAAGGTATACATTTGATCAGTTCTTGCATTTCCTGGGAATTGAACCCACAACCTTGCTGTGGTTTGTGCCATTTTCTACTGTTTGAACTACAGGAACTTACATCTCTGCCATGCTGTCGGGCAGGTTTGCCGGTATCGCCGTCAGTCCTTTCCCTCTGCAGTCCACAATATTATTATTGCAGGTGCAGACGGCCGGACACGAGCCGGCGGTGAAACTACACGACTGAACAGCAGCGTCTTCAGACTGACCTGCAGAGGGACATTTGTAATGAGTGAGAAGAGGTTGTGAGTAATAAAACGTAAGTGTACAAGTGAGAACTAGTTATTGTTCTTTGATTCTGATCAGTAGAAAGCAGTAGGTGCTAATGTTGGCTGAAGAGACTGGAAGGCAGATTGCTCACTGTATTTGTTTTGAGGGCTTGTGTTACCTGAACAGCTGAATTCATGTTTCTGGACCTCGGCTACATTAAGTCCTCGTATCGGAGCCGGAGCGCTGCACTGGGTGAACAGACCGATGGTCGGCCGCTCGCGCAACCACTGGGACAACCAGGCCAGATTGCAGTCGCAGTTCAGGTTGTTGGAATGTAAACGGCTGAATGTGGAAAAAATGGCAGTGTGAAGGTTAAGATGAAGCTTTTATCCAATTCTTTTTAACACAAGGTTAAAGACATTGTTCAACCAAAAATGAAAATGTGCTGAAAATGTGCTCATCTTCAGGTTATCCAAGATTAGGATGAGTTTGTTTCTTCATCAGATTTGGAGAAATGTAGCATTCCATCACTTGCTCAGCAATGGATGCTCTGCAGTGGATGGGTGCCGTCAGAATGAGAGTCCAAACAGTTGATATAAACAACACAAGTAATTCACAGCACTCCAGTCCACCAATTAATGCCTTGAGAAGACAAAAGCTGAAACAAATCCATCATTAAGAGGTTTTTAACTATAATACGAGTCCATAATAACGCTTCCTGCAGTGAAAAAGTGGTCTGGTCTGAATCAGGAGAGAAATCTGCACAGATCAAGCAGCGTTTACAAGCCAAAACAGCTCTAAACAAATATGTGAGTGGATTTTGATGTGAGAGACAACAGGAGATGGACTGACAGGAGTGACAGTATAAAGCTAAACTGCTTTAATTATGGATTTATTTATTTTTTTTACAAACACGCAGCTTTTGTCTTCTCAAGACGATGAACTGGAGTGCTGTGGATTACTTGTGGATTATTGTGATGTTTTTATCAGCTGTTTGGACTCTCATTCTGACGGCACCCATTCACTGCAGATGATACACAGTTGGATTTATCCAAATCAGATGAAGAAATAAACTCATCTACACCTTGGATGAAGGTGAGGACATTTTCAGCAAATTTTCATTTCTTAAAAGACCAGCAGCAGATCATGTTGTGTTTTGGGTGCTCTTGCCAGCATAATCCAGTCTGAACTAACATGGAAATTCATGCTGTGCTAAGCCTGTCACTGAGCTTTACTACTAATGCCAATAGCCAGTTATCTTTACCCAGTACCCAGTATCTGATCAGTGGGGTCTTTTTTCTCTCAGGTAAAGAGGACATGCTGATGGGGTACACGTGATCTACCGGAAAAAACTATCCTGTTTTACTGCCACATACTGTTTCAAAATATTCAACAGAAACAGGGAACGTACAAACTGACTGCAATCCCGGGGTCTGGATTTCATTCTCTAAAACTTCACTTATATTCCTGATATTCTTTAATGGAAACCTGACCATTTCATAGCATAAATCTGTAAGTGAATAACAAAATAAATAAATAAACCAGAAATAAATGAGAAAGAAACTCCATGTGGTTACAAATTCCAGAGAAATATAGCAGAATATACATATCATAAAAACAGTGTGTGTGGGTGTTTATTTCTGTATGTGTTTGTGAATTACTGACTGTGGCTTCTGGCAGAGCCGTGTGGCCTCCACCGTCCCGCCAAGACTGCATGGAATGACACTGTGTGTGTGTGTGTGTGTGTGTGTGTGTCTGTGTGCGTGTGTGTGTCTGCGTGTGAGTGTGTGCCTGTGTGTGTGAGTGTGTGTGTGTGTGTGTGAGTGTGAGTGTGTGCGTGTGTGTGTGTGTGTGTGT